TTGGGAGTTATTGGCCAAGAACGAAAATTTGGAAGAAATTGAAGGTGTACCTTTGGAAAAATCGAAAATTTTTTTTTGTTGTTTATTATTAGCAATGTTCTTCCGATGTCTGATTTCTTTTTAAAAAAATGCGTGTCTAAAGTGCATAAACTTTTGGGATTGACTGTATAGCCAATACATCCTTAACATCACCTGCTTCCATGTTCGTCTACCTCGGAACTGAGCAAACATCGTTCATGCTTTTGTGGTGATAAGCGTGATAAAGTTTCGGGATTTTTGGTAGATTCTGTCCGGGTTCGATAGATGAGAAACGACGATCGGGTAATGAATTAACGCTTTGAAATTATGGTGTAATATGTAGAGGTGACCGCGTCTCGAAACGGGAAGTGCTATACGTTTCCTCGATGTGGAGCAAATTGGGTGTGGCTCCGGCTCTCCTGCTCGCCACCAGAGGACTTTCGAACCCTCTTTGCCACGGGTTCATCCGAGTCATCGATCGCTTCCTGTGGATCGTTCGCTTTCTGATCTCGTTGGCAAGTCCAAAGACTTGCAACGAGTCCGAACTTCCACCCTCGCGACTTTCGAGTCAGGGATTAACGAGTTGAATTTCCGAACTCGGTTACGTGACCAACGGGCAAAAAGTTTTTCTAACGAAATGACGTGCGAAACTTCGATGTCTAAAATACAATGAAACTTATAAAACAATTGTTCTTCTGATTCAATATCGTATCACCGCGCCCATCAGAAATTGTTTACCCTCGTATCGATTGGACGAATTTCAATGTTCATTTTTTTGACGAAACGAGGCTGTGCTCTTTAAGGATGTATTAGCTATACAGTCAATCCCAAAAGTTTATGCACTTTAGAAACGCATTTTTTAAACAAAAATCAGACGTCGGAAGAACAATGCTAATAATAAACAACAACAAAAATTTTTTATTTTTCCAAGATTTTTCCAAGGGGTACCCCTTCAGATTTGGCAAAATTTTCGTTTTTTTTTAGCATTATTCTTCCGACGTCTGGTTTCTTTTTAATTATAGGAAATGCGTTTTTCTAAGGTACATAAACTTTTGTGATTGACTGTATAGCCAATACATCCTTAACTTTGCACAAGGTCACCGATACGGAGATCGAAAACGAGGATTAGAGAAATCGAGGGCCTGATCTCAATCGTATTACGCTCGAAATGGCTGGCATTAAAGTCGACCGATCAATTTCTCGCGGCACGGAGAGCCGTACAGGCTGTGCAATCCGACTTCGCGGAAGTTATTTGCGGCGACTATTGTTTCACGCTTGTTCCTTGATTTCGAAGTGGCAGGTGCCGACCTTGGCGGTACCGAAAGTTCAAGTTGAACGAACCGAAGAACCGAACAGCGCGTCTAACTTTAAAATACGTCATTCGCCTCTGATCATCGATCGAGCTTCCTCGACGAACGTATCGTGGCTTTCAATTTAGTAAAAAATCCCCTGCAAAATTAGAAACGGTCGATCGCTCGATGATTCCATTTTGCTGGTACGATGACGCTCGTTTGAACGACTTGGTCGTCGAAAGCGGCGCCGCGCTGCTGCTAGGAGAGTGGCTCCCTCGTTTTCCGGAGAACGTTTGTCGTTCTCCGTTAGTAAGGCAGAACGCGTACGGTACGAGAAGGAATCCCTTTCTCGAGCAGATAATCGCTCCCGCGTTTTAGAAGGCGATCGATGAACGCTTTCGTCTGTGTCAGAGCTAATCTCTCCGGCATCGGTTTAAACGGGCACGCTTTAGGAATTGAATTGATTGACTTAGCGGAGCACGCCTTTGTTGCATATATATATATTATACATACACCTATTACATTTATAAGAGACACACGATCTAGTTGTTTTTACCCTACACAATACGATTAGAATTGATTGTTTTTATGGAAATCCCGCAGTGTCGTTTATTGTTTCATTTTCAGGTCATCCGGCTGGCAGTGTAACTTTAAAAAAAGGTAATGGTCCGATTGCTACTATAGATGCTCTTGACGTAAGGAATCTCAAATATATATACGAACAGTTCGATGATTTTGTACTCGAGAATCAGACTGAATGATTTTTTTTTTTTTAGTGAAGTACTTGACTAAATGGAAAAGGAATGGGTTCAGATGAGTTCGCGTACAAAATCGTCAGTTCACATCTTTAGTACTTGGATCTCAAGAATCCAGTTCAAGAGTAACAGATGAAGTATGCGAAGACAAATAAGCAAGAAATTTATAATACGGATCCAAGTACTAAATGATTTTTAGCTTTAAAATCATTAGACTCATCACTAGTTTCATCTACGATCACAAAAATCATATCTATCTTCTAAATTCATGTCGATTTCGAGAAATGTTAACGATATCACAGTCCAGTCGTCGAACACGTGTTGCGAGAATTTCGAAAGAGTCAGAAGAAAACAAACGAGATAGCGTCTCGACATCGTTTTCCCTAAAGTATATTTAAAAGAGAAATAGTATCTTCTCAGAAAAATGAAATTTCACTATAAAACGTTTCTAATTTTATTTCAACAATCTGAATCTGAAGGACGCGATCTTACATACGTTTTTAAGGTTGCAGGAGCCGTAAGATCTCTGCCAAAAGTTTAAGACATGGAAAATTTAAAAGTTTTGGACTTTTAGAAAAA